CAGCAGCAGCAGCAGCAGCAACGGCCGCAGCAGCAGCAGCAGCAGCAGCAAACAGCAGCTAGGACCTGCCTCCCAAAGAAGCAGCTAGGGGCGCATCAGAGGCAAACTTCTGCTGCTGCTGTGGCTTTAGGCAAAATGCTAAATGACAAAAAGTGAAATATTTTTGAAATAATAAAAGATATTTTGTTTATAAGAATGAAGTGAAAATGAAATTAAATATAAATAGATCCAAATTTAAATATTATTTTGATTGCTGAATTGTGTTTTATTTCATTTAATTCTTTTAAGCACCAAAAGACAAAAGAAGCACACAGAGAGAGCTGTGGGCGCCAGCAGAGCCAAAGATAGCAGCAGCAGCAGCAGCAGCAGCAGCAGCAGCAAAAGAGAATTGAATGAAACACCTCAGCTGGTTGCGGTTGCCGCCGCAGCAAGCAGCAACTCGGCCTTCTGGCAGCGCAGCAACTCGGCAGCAATAAAACTGTGTGGTGAAGACCCCCTCGTCCACAGCTGCCTTGCTCACAATGCTGCTGCTGCTGCTGCTGCTGCTGCTGCTGCTGGACGCTTCGTCTGAGCCTTCTGCAGGCACGGCAGGCGCAGGCGATTCTTGCGGGCCGCAGCAGCATGCGGCGTTTATGTCCAAAACCTGCAGCAAACAGAAGCGCGCAGGCAAGTCTGCTGCTGCTGCTGCTGCTACTGCTACTACTACTGCTGCTGCTACTGCTTTGCTTGCTTTTACTGGCTGTTGCTGCTGCCGCTGCAGTATCAGGCCCTGCTCATTTTTGTGAGCTGCTACAAGCTACTGTAATGCTGCTGCTGCTGCTGCTGCTGCAGCTGGTATTCCTGCTCCTGTTGCTTGCATTGTGGGTTTTTAACTAGCCCGTGGCAAGCCCTAAATCCTAAACCCCAAACGCTAATATGCAAACCCTAAACCCTAAGCTCTAAACCCTAAACCCTAAACCCTCTGCCTACGTGAAGGGCCTCGAGGTCTGGCAGCCTCAAAACCATCAACTGCTTCTCGTCGCGGTGCGACGCAACCAAAGCAGCAGAAGGCGACAGCAGCGCCACAGACTCCCTGCAGCAGCAGCAGCAGCACAAGCCGCAGCAGCAGCAGCACAAGCAGCAGCAGCAGCAGCAGAAGCAGGTGCCACAGAAATGGCCCGGCAGTAGCAGACGTTGCTGTATACTGAAATTCAACTAAGGTGAAGGCCCTGCAGCGCAGTAATGCCCCAGTATGAGTTGCTGCTGCAGAGACCGCGGCAGCAGCAAGAGCAGCAGCAGCAGCAGTAGCAGCAGCAGCAGCAGCAACGGACCCAAGAGGGGAGCATTCAGCAGTGCCTCCGACTGCCATTTGTTTGTCGGTCTTCCAAAGCTGCAGCCACTCTCAGCAGCACTTGAAGTTGTTTTCGTGACTTAGCAGCAGCAGCCACAGCAGGTGCACCAGATGCAGCAGCAACAGCAGGTGCAGCAGCAGCAGCAACAACAGGTGCAGCAGCAGCAGCGGCAGCTCACACACCTGAATGGTGGAATCGACCCCTGCAGAAATGATAGTGTGTTTATTTAGCAGCTTAGGAAGAGAGTGCTTCCTGCTGCTCTTCTCGTCTGCGGGCGGCAGAAACATCACCTATGAGCAGCAGCAGCAGCAGTAGCAACAGTAGCAGCAGCAACAGCAGCAGGGCTCACGCGTGCGAACAAAGTGACATCTGCCCTAAGAAGAAAGAGGTGCGGCAGCAGCAGCGGCTGCTGCATCGCAGGCAGCAAGCAAGCACAAGCAGCTGCCAAGAA